GATAAAACCCAGTTTAACCCCCCCTGCAGAAGCGGGAGGTGGCGGTGTTCCTCCGTTTGGCTGCTGGTTTTCGCGTGCGGTTTTAAGGCCGTGGCACAGGTCACACTCTGCTCACACAAACCCGCCGCGGGGATGAGCATCACCATGCCCACCCCATAGCGGGGCTGGGGACACGGATCTGCATCTCCTACATCTCCAGCCCCTGCCCCACTAAGGGCGATGCTCTCCAGCACGGAACGAGGAAGGCTTTACACGGCGTTACTCGGCGATGCTCCAGGCGCTGGTGTTGCCTTTGTCCTGTCAGGTTTTCTCCTTCAGCCGCTCTTTCCCTTCACTCCCTCAGACCCTGCCCGGCGCGGCTCCTGCTCAGCTCCAAGGGAAAGCTGCGCTTCCACCCCTCCGCAGGCAGAGAGCACAGGAGAGCTGCGCCTGGCGCCGCTTGGAGGGGAAAGCCCATGGAAGAGGCTCCCGAGCAATTCCCAACGGGACAGCACGGCAGGAATCTCTGCAGCGGATGCACCCCTTACATCCCCCCCCCCATCGCTGTCCTCTCGGGGCGGGGGCTCGGTGTTCCAGTGTTAGAGGGTGGCTGGTGCACCCAAACCCCCCCAGTGCCTGCCCGTCTGTCTGCGGGAGGAGCCCCATCCTCTTGGCAGTGCTCCTGGGCTCATGGCTCAGCCTCCTCGGTCCCCAGCACCACCAGGGGCGCCTCTACACTGGTTTGGCTTCACTTTAGCCCTGCTCCTGTTCATCAAACAGGAGGGCTCCCTCCTTAGAAGCATCTTTGGGGTCACCTGCGGGCACAGCTGGCTCAAAACGGGGCTGTGACAGTCCTCAGGGCCACACGCTGGTCCCAAGCCCCTTATCCCTTGCAGGGATGCCCCACAGCACCGTGTGCCCCGCCACACAAGATCCATGGGCTGCATTCCCATGTCTTTGCATTGCCACCAGGGAGAGCTGCCTGCAGGCAACCCCACTGGCATGAGCCGCAAACACAGCCCTCCTGCCCAAGATGCTCTCACCCCATGGGTGTAAGAGCAGCCAACAGCCTGATCTGCCCCTGATGGCCTCATGCAAAGCACACCTGGTTGCACTGATTGCTCCACATCACACATAAAGCCTCAGCCAGTGCTCTGGGCTGCAGCCCTGCAGCGGCTCCCAGTGAGAGCTGCTGCAGGGCTGGATGAGTCCCAGCAGTGTGCGTTATCCCCGGGAAGGTGATGCTTGGTTTGGGAATGGGGGGTGGTAAAAGCCCAGCTTGCAGGGGGGGGGGCTTTATCCAGGGGCTTGAGGTTTGCTGGCTGCTGCCTCCTGCAAGGGCTGCATTCACCCCAGGAACCCGCTGGTCACCCCCTTCACTGGGGGTTTGGGTGATGCTGCTCTCAGAGCAGGTATTGTGGTGCCTGCCCCACCAGAGCTGGTGCTGCTGCCCATGCAGGGAGCAGAGAAAGGTGCTCATCACCCCTCTGCCTCTTCCATCCCCCTTAAACCCTCCCGGGTTCCTGCCTGCAGGTGCCCTGTGATGTGGGTGCCAACAGCCTGCAGGGATGAAGAGCTGCTGCAGAACTGCTTGTTCCTCCAGGTGAGGGAAAGAAGGACCTGTTCCCATGATGGTGCTTGGGTGAGGATAAGGCACGGAGGCTTTTCCCAGGGTCCTGTGCCTCCACTGAGCTCCAGTTCTGGACATTCCATTTGTGAGGATTTCTGCTTTGATTTTTCCTTCCCTGCCCTTTGGAGATGGTTGAATTAGCAGGGAGTTGCAGAAACTCTCTCCAAGATAATTATCCCACATCTCTCTAGTGGGTTCGCCACGTGATGGTGTGTCTGCAGGGGTGTATTAATAGTATCATAATATTATATATCAGTTCTCATCCCAAAGTACTTCATATGCTGAGGGGCGAAGCCTAACGAGGATGAGGCAAGTGAAGTGGAGCCTTCAGCCTCCCCTCGGATCCCTCAAAGCCATGGGGTGCAGGACCAGCCTCCTCACTGGTCAGGCACAGAATGGGTGGGCTCCCTGCCTCCGGTGCTGCTGCACACAGCAGTCTGTGTCCTCCCCCTTCCCCATTCCCCTTAAAGACAAGCTGCATGGGGCTGGCTGTGCCGGTTGTGGGGTGTCAGCAATGGGGTCAGTTACTGATGGCCTGAGCTGGGATGGACCAGGGCCATCCCAGCCTGGCTGGGTGAGTGCCAGCTCCCACTTCCCCAGGGCCACGCTTGCCTTCGGTCTCTTGCTGTCAGGAGCATTGTGCTGTGCGGTTCAGATGTCCCCAGTTCTGTCTCCAAACACTGCCCTTGTGTTGGGGCTATGGAGGGTGAGGATCATGGGCACATTCCCATTGGAATTCCCTCTTGGGGATGTTCTGCCTCCTCCACTGGCCCCCTCGGGTGCTGCTGGGTTCTCTCCATCCCTGCCCTGCCTGTTGGCAGCCTGTGAATGGGGGCCAGCCCTAAGCCTGCTCTGGGCAGGCAGCAGATGTCACTGAGCTGCACGGAGGGGCTGGATGGGGAGGGAGAGGTCTCCAGCAGAGGATGGCTGGTGCTGGACAAACCTGCTTGTGTAAAGCTGTGTTTGCAAGGAGCCTCCTACAGAGGGGAAGCATCCAAGCCTGCAACTGCCTGTGTGCCCGTGCCCGGGGTCAAAGCTACGAGGCAAGGCTGTGGTTGTTCGTATGAATGAGCAATTGCTTGGAGGCTTCAGACCCCTGCTTGTCTCAGGCCAAGGGAAGCCCTGACAAGCCCAGATGGGATCTCCAGTGTGGTTCCCAACAGGCGCTGGCACTTTGGGGTGCTGCAGGAGCATCCATCCCCTGCCGAGAGCTGCTGTGCACAGGCATGCAGGGCTGAGCCCGCAGCAGTGGGGCTGCTCTCACACGGGGAGCAGGGATAATGTGCCTGGATGAAGTGCAGAACCCACATGGAGATCCCAGGCGAGAAGGGTTGCTGGCACATGTGTGCACAGGGGAAGGGCAGCAGGGCTCTTCCCCTCCCTTGTCTCTGTTTCAGAGGTGCAGGAAGGCTCCTCACCAGCATCCGCCCCCCTGTAAGGCCCTGGGTGGTTAATCCCTTAAGCAAGCCATGTCCTGGCCCCTGCCTCCTCTCCTCAGGTGATGAAGGTGTGAGCTGGTGTCTGCCGGATGCAGATGCCGGTGGGATGAGGGCTGTTTTGATCTGATGAGGTTTCTCCAGGCTACATAAAAAAAAAGACTGCATTGCATCCCAGCTGTCCAGCAACAGAATATATTTAACTTAAAAAATAGTAATAATCCACAGTATCAAAACACAGCAAGTCACAAGCCAATACTAGGTGAGACAAACAGGCATCAAGTGGTCCTCTCTAACCCCTCGGTTTGGGCTCTGGGATGAAACCAAAAGGTGGGCTCATCACTGGGATGCAGATGGCACAGGCACCTATTCCCTGCTTCAGCTGGGAAAGACTGATACACCCAAGCATGGCCAAACCCAAGGAAAACATGGACTCAAGCCAGTGATGGACAAATATTCCCATGCAGCAGTGCCTGTATGTATGAGATGGGTGAGAAAGGGGGTGCCTGGGGCAGCGATGCCATCACCTCCAGGCAGTGCTAGTGGAGGCAACCTCCTGCTTTGATCCCAAGCCCAAATGTGCCCATTCCCTTTGACCTGCCTGCAGGCAGCATCCTCAGAGCTGGACGATGGATTGAACTCCTCCTGCCTTGATAGTCCTAGAGTGCACGTGAAGCCTTCTCATCCCACTGCACAGCTTCGGTGGAGGGGGAAAAGGGGGTGTCACTTCCCTTTGGATGATGGGTGGGCGCAGGAGAAGCAGGACTGAATCTTAGCCTGGCTTTAGTTATGCATATGGATGACAAGAGGAGGAAGGATGGCCTGTGGGTGGAACAGGCTCTTGGGGAGCTCATTGTCACTAACCCTGGTTCAGCTGGTGCCACCATCAGCTGGGGCTTTGCAGCGTGCTGGCCCCATGGATGGGTGGATATGGAGCGCCTCTAAGGGATAAACCAACTGCAGCACGGCTTGAAAAGCCATTGTGTGTGTGAGCATGAAGTCAGCCAGACAATACAGGGCTGTGTTATCATGAAGGGATTAGCAAGTGTGTGGGAGAAACTACTGCTTTTGACTGGGAGGAATGTAAGATCCAGCCAAGCTTACAGCTCTTCTTGTGCCTGGGCTTTAAATGAACTCTTGGTGGTGTCTTCTAGAGGATGCACAGTAATGAACTGCGCCCTGGCTGGAGTGTGTGCATGCATGTGAACTGCAGGGACATCCCAGAACACGTAGGAGGCAAGGATGGAATAAAACAGCCCCCTGAAGAATGAGCCCATGACTCTTTGGTTTCCTGTCCATGGAGCTCAGATACCGCTGCGCCGCGGTGAGACTACGACAAGGGGCTGCTTCCAACACAACTGGAGGATCTTTAATGAAGTGTGTGGCAATGGATGCAGGTAGGGAGGAACACAGAATGGTTTGGGTTGGAAAGGGCCTTAAGATCATCCAGTTCCAACCCCCTGCCATGGGCAGCCCCTTGTTTCAGGAAGCACAGGATGTGGCACAGAGGGAGGCACGTCCTGTGTCCAACACCCTACTCAATGGCACACAGCCCCATTGACCTTCCTGGCTCTGATTGCCAGGCACATCTGAGAGTGATGCTGGCCCTCCGCAGCAAGTGTGGCCAGGCAGGCAAAGGGCTGGGATGGCAGGAGCTGTCTGCCTTAGCACCTTTTCCATGATAAGTGTGCATTTGGGCAACCCCATCAGACTCAGGTGAATCAAGAATGCATGGAAATGGTTGGGCTGACCCAGAATGAGACTGGTTTACAACTAGCCACACGCTTCAAAACACATTTGGCTTGGTTCCTACCTGGAATTGCTTTCCAATGACTGGTACACCAGCTGCTCAGCCTGGCTGGGTTCAGGTACCAAGGAACTATTTCATTAAAGCCCTTCTTTCCTTCTGAGGTTTTCAGAAAGAGCAGCAGCAAACACTGTGCTGTTGGCAGATGGGGGGGAAGCAACTGCATTTATTCTTCATTACCCACTATCGCTCTTTTTAGCTGTAAAACTTGCATCGAAAACATCTACATTTATAAAGCAGGTGATGCTGCTGGGATTGCCGGGTGCCTTCAGCCAGACCAAGCGATCACTGGCTGTGACCTCTTGCTGTGCCAGCAAGGAGACAAGGACTGGTTTGCGGTGGTGGTGTGGCACTGGTGGGAGGTCATGGCAGGGCTCCTGCAAGTGGGAGGCGAGTTATCCGGTGGTGGTGGGTGTCCTGGAGGAGGTGACCTTTCCCTATGGTGCTCCAGACAGAGGCATGAGAGCGCTGGGTGGTGAGTTTGGCCCTAAAGAGAAACACAAGCATTGGTGATGGAGAGGAAAGCTCCGGATTAGCGCTCCTACCTGTGTCTTCAGTGCATGGCTCTTCTCACCAGGCAACCTGATCCAACTGGAGATGGCCCTGCTCATTGCAGGGGGGTTGGACTGAATGCGCTTTGAAGGTCCCTTCCAACCCAAACTGCTCTATGCACTGTAAGCACCACGCATGTACCTCCAGCTTGCTGCCAGCTTCCACATCATGGGCTCCTTGAGGGGATGGGCTCTACCTGGTCTGTCCCTGGCACAAAGCTCTAGCCTCTTATGAGAGGAGGACAAATCAGTTGCAGTTGGGATGTGTGTGGTGTTAGGGATGGGAATGAGCAGAGCTCCCTTTTGACCCCAAAGAAAGGCTTGAAACCCCTCCTGCAGCTCAGCCTCTGAGCTCACTGCAGCACAGCTCCCACATCTTGCCACAGGGAGACCTGAAGCCAGGCTGAGGGGCTTGCTGTTGCCTGAGAGTGAGCTGTGCTTCACCCCTGGGCTCAGGGGCTGGTTTTAATCAGGACTATTGCAGAAAGCAGAGGTTTTTATTAGCATTACCACTGCAGCAGGGCAGCTTTGGGGAAAACAAGAGTTTGGTGCCTGCTTCCTGTAGCAAGGGCAATCTATGAAATTGCTCCTGTCCTAAAGCAGAGAGTGGGAATCTGTCTGGTGCTAATTAAAATCCATCAAGCAAATCCCCACGACAGGCAGAAATAAGGCCTTTCATCCTGGCTGTTCATTTGACAGATGCTGGAGCCTCTGAATGCTGGCTGTTTGCTTGGCTTCACCAATTTGGTAGGGCAAAAATAAGGTATTCTCATAGACCCTGAAGGTAAATGATAAACCCCACACCCCTCCTGTGCAGGGCTGCTGGTGCCAAACTCTCTTATGCAATAGATGTGGGCAGCACACAGGCACAACTGAAGTGATGCTCTCTGGAGACCTGTGGGCCTCCTGAATAGGGCAGCATTTCCATACAAGCCCTCCTCCACTAATCCAATTCTCCCATCCTCACTAGAGCACGGGGACAGACAGCACCAAACATGGCCCAAAAGGCCAGCAAAACCCTGGAGATGCTGACAAGGAGCTAATCCTGCCCCTTCTTCTTCCTAGGGGGACCTGTTGTATAGGTGCTGGGTCTGATGCCTGTACATCTGATGCCACAGGAGATGTGACTTCTGGCAGTTTAATGCCAGCCTCTCCAGTCTGAGGCTTCCTGCACTCCCTGTCTACCAGGTGTTTAAATCCATCTCCTAATGTGAATCCATCACACGTGAAGGATGTGAATCCATCTTCACAGGGAGCAGAACAAGCTGTTCATAAGCCACGTCGAGCTGCTCACGTTTCTGAGCTTCTATGCCCAGAGGCTTTGCCTGGTTTCTTCCCAACACCTCTACCAGCTGGGCTAGGGAAACCTGCCAGCCACATCTGCAGAGGCTCCTGCACATCTGTGTGGGATGTACACATGTAAATGTACACATTTGGAGATGGAGCCCAGGATGTACACTTGTAAACCTCAAAAAAGGGTTCTCACCCAGCACAGCAGCAGCTTGGGAAGGTGTTTTCCAACTACTGATCTCCTGTTTGCTTCTGGTTATGATTCTCTTTACCCCTTCCCAGGTGGGAAATGAAGGAGCAGGGCTTTTCTGTCTCACAGTAAATGATGAAGCTCAATTCAGTAACATCTGTACAGTCCTGCAAGCCACAGAACTGCAAGTGCTACAGCACAGGTCACTGAGCAGCCACCTCTTAACCAGTCCTATTGGTAGAAATGGCCATAGAGTTATTGAATATCATGAGCAGAAACCCTTTGGGTGACTGCTGTGGCAATGGTAACCTTGAGGAGCTCATCCCTTGGCTTTAACACAGATGCTGGATGGCTCTCGGGTTCCATCTTTCCAACACGGACCTACTAAGAGTTGACTGTTCTCAAAGTGCTGCTGTCTTGCAAGTCTCTCCTTGGCAAGGCAAGGTAACCCTGCCACGCTGCAGTGCAATGTGTGTCAGGATAACTGTGCTGCTTTTCCTTTTGAGCGCTTCCAGCGCTGGGATAACAAGAAGCACTGACTGGTGCTTGTCTCCCAGTGAAACCTGCCTCACTGCTGCCTCTGTTGCGTGGCTTTCATCTCCCTAAAAGCTGGTATTATTTCATCTGTCTTCTCATCTCCCTAAAAGCTGGTATTATTTCATCTGTCTTCCTCTGCAGTTACAACCGAGCAGCTCTCCTGCCTGCACCATGTTATAGATCTTCGCTTTCCGTGCAGCTGAGCTCAGCACCCCCATTTGGGGACAGGGTAGTTGCTAAATACCTATTTCTGGCTGGTCAACACAGCAGCATGAGCCGCTGCTGAGGGTGTGAGGCAAAAGAAATGCAGCCTGAGTTATTGCTTTGGAGGCTGTTCATCTACTGCTCATGGATGTTCCTCAGCTGCAGTGATCTGTCTGTCACCTACAGTGGCACTGTTAATATCTGGCCAGGACCCTCCCCAAGCGACAGCAGCTTTGCCCTCTTGCATGAGAGCTCTTCTGCCACCTCTTTGGAGTGGAAAAGCAGCCACGTCCCCCTTGGCCCTGCTAAAACACCCAGCCAGGATCAGAGTGGTCACTGCCTGGATGCCTTACCCCACCTGGCCATGGGCCTTCCAGCCAGGACTGCTGCTGAGACCCGGTCATGATACTCGAACTCCGGATACTTACCTTGGAGAAGTGGAGCAGGGATGCTGCTTCAGCCAGGAACACGTGCTGGGCTGCAATGGGATCCATTTCCAAAGCATGGAGACACTGCCACCAAGTCTCTTTCAGAGGGAGGGGAGAAAAAGTCTTTCTTGGCTCCCCCAGTACTGTTCTACAACAGAAGCCTTTGGCAAGGTCCCTTGCTAGATAAAGTCCCCCCAGGTCTGGTGGGAGGTCTGATCATCACATAGTGCCAGCAGATGGAAGCAGGGGATGGCCTCAGTCCCTTCATCAGCACAGCATGATTTACAGCAAGCACGGTCCTCAAGACATCTGCACGGACAGAGCTTCATTGAGCATCATATATACAGTGAGCAGGGGAGGCTGGGCTGAGCCCTCTGCTACCACGAAGCAGTCAAGGATGGACTCTCAGGGTGGGGGAAAGTACAACTGGTTTGCTCTTATATACTGTAGACGTTATCTCTGAATAGCTCCTTGGCATTCGATGTCTGCAGCCGGTTTCCTTTAACAGTGAGCATAAAAAGGAGGCAAAACATCTTCAGCTACTGGGAGGAGAGAGAAAGCAGCACCTCCAGCCCCTTTGCCAAGGGTGTTTCGTTCTCCTGGCACCATCCTTCTCCTCCTCATCAGCCGCCCATCGTGTGCTGGCCAGGACCAGTCCTACCCCACACCGTGCTTGCCCCATCTCTGCTGCTCAATGGGATCAGTGCAAGTCTCTGTCGGATGCTCTGCACCTCCGCTCTGCTGGATGGGCAGATGGACCAGGTTCAGACAGAAGGAAACAAAACAAAAGGAAGAAGAAAGACAAAGGGTAATGAAAAGGTCCGTGGCCCACAGCTGCCAAAGGAAATCTCTCGCCGTGTCTCTCTGACCATACTTGTCCCAGCCACTACAGCTGCTGTGGGATCCCCTGTTCCTTGTAGCCTGTGAGGAGGGAGGGGAAGGGAACATGATTAGTGTTAATTCCTAACAAGAACCCTCAAGTGAGCCTGGTTCACCAGGAGTGGCAAACTCCATGGGAAAACAGGGGCACTGCCCTGGTCAGGCTCAGCCCTGCCTGGCTTTAGCCATGGGGTGCAACCACCTTCCTGGGCACAGGAAGGAAGGCAGCCTTGCTGCTGTGGTGCCTGCTGCCACCAGCTCTGGCGTGGGCAGAGGCACATCTGCTCGAGGATGCTATAAAGGCACGGGAGGTACTGGTGGCCACTAATTCCAGTCCAGCCTAGTAACATAAAGCCTTTATGGAATGTGTTTTTCTGCAGCATAGGGGATGCCTTATTTACTGCTGTTCCCAAGTGCTGGCCTGGCAGCCTGGTGGCTGTGCATCCGACACGCATATCCATTAATGATCTATGTCAGAACCTTGTCCTTCCAGAGGAGTGCCAGGTAGGAGGAGGTTGGTTTCCCCTATCTACCCTTTTGTTCCTGTGCTGCCTTTTGCTAGCAGAGCTCCCCAGCAGCAACCAATCTGCACTGTAGTTTGTGGAGGTGAACAAACATCTCCTGCGGGAGAAGGGGGGTGCCTTTAATCACAGGCTGATATGTCAGAGTTCAAACATGGACCGCAGCATGCCTCTGTGGGCCCTTTCACTAATGATGCTCTCCTGCCTTGTTATGCACTTGCTTTGCTCCAGCCCAGCAGAACTACAGGTGCTTTTGTGGGGGCACAGCAGCCATCCGGTGGAACTGGAGAAAACTAAGGTGTTCGTTCAGCAGCAAAGCCAATGGCACTGGAAAACTGCCTGGATGCTGTCTCCTTCACAACCCCTCCTCTTCCCATGGCCATGAGGTTTAATGCATCTCCCAGCCAACGCAGCAGAGCCCTGGGTTCTGGGGCCACACTTTATGTGTTATCCCGTATACAGTGGTTGAGGGGAGTTTGCAAATCCCATAGGGATGTCCCCATAGAGGGGCTCCTTTCCCCTACAGGGGATAGGGCCAGGAAGGGCAATAGGAGAGCACCTGCAGCTCTTGTGTAGACATAGGATAAAAAGAAGAACATGGGGTTTTTCAACCCTTTGCTAGGTGGTTGCAATGACTGCATCTGAAGCTTCACCTGCTTTCTCTTCAACAGAAGCTAGGATTGTCACTACGGTAGTTTCAATGCACAACATCTCATTTTTAAAGGAGAAAACAAACCGTCCTTACCTTCACTGCAGCGCAGATCTTTCATCTAGAAACCTTTAAAAACCTGGAGGTTTTCTTTCTTTAAACAACATAGGCAGCCTGCCAGTTTTATACCCCGCCTTTCAACTGAGGCTGAGATTTCACATCTCACGGAGCTCTTCAAGCACCTCTCCATCAATGCTTTTAAATCCTTCTTTCCAACCCTTATGTCAGGCTTCTGTAAGCGCCTTAAAGCTGAGCACAAAACAGCAGCAGGTACCACAACCTCTGTCCTTAAGGGTTTTTTTTGCTGAACTAAGAACTGGCTCTGGCAAATGAACTTTGTCCTGTGGAACAGTCCATGCATTCACCAGCCTGGGCAGCCTGGATCTCCTGCTGCTAAATGAGCACAGGGAGCAGAGGAGGAGATTAATGGCACTTCTCAGCACGCATTACCCTGCGCCGCCTTGCTGTCCATCATGTGCAGCTGAATAGGAAGAGTCTCACGTCTTTCAAACAGCTTTTTCTAGGGGAAAAATGAGGGTTTCTTATACATTTATGACCTAAGTGTGCATCAGCTCTGAATGAAAGACGAGCCGGTTGGAAACCTGTAATATGCACTTGTCTACAGCACAGGTTTAATTTGTTTAGGGAGCACAGTAAAGAAACCACATGGACCAGAGCTGGGCCACACCATAAATCCTTAGCTAAAGAAACCAAGCTGGGTTATGCTTGCATTAACCTGCTTGCACAGACATGGCTTTTATTAAGATAGAATAGAAATCCTTTCAGTTGTGCCATCAGTTTTGAAGCTAGCTGGAAGCCAGTTGCAGTGGCTGAGCCTGTGTATCTCTTACATGACCAAAGTAAGCCAAAAGATGACAAAGATGACCTGTCCTATGCTAAACTTCTTAATATAGTTATATAACTTATTTAATACAACTTATTAAAATAGTTCAGACTTATTAGTTTATATATGGAAACAGTTATTGCATTTCTTGCATAGGGGTAGCTGTTCTGTACATAGCAGCTTCACCTTAGTACACCTGTATTACAGTTAAGGTGCAGTTCTGTGAAGCAGACAGCTCTGGGACCAAGATTAAGCTGGTCTGAGGATCTGTGCTCAAAATTGCGGATTTAATCAAGTTTGCTTGAAATTGCACTTCTGTAAATCACTGCAAGTCACATTCAGGTGAGAAGAAACCGCTCTGTGCACAGGCTGTCCCACAGGGACTAGGTTCATGCAGAGGGTGGCCTTGGGATGCTCTCAAGGCTGAAACAGGTCCCTGCCCTGCTCCTTGAGGCAGCCCAAGGGGCATTTCAGTGCTGGGTGAAGAACAGGTCCCTGGGGACAGACACAGAGACAGGCGACACACACACACATACAGAGGCACAACTGGACTTGGGCTGGGAGCGGGCAACACCGACCAAAATGAATCCCAAACAGCTTGTCCTGCCTGATGCTCGCTGCTGTCCACAGGGCAGGAGAGTAGGAGAAGGAAGAGCAGAAACAAACTTACCTTGTGAAACTTTGATGGTGAACAAAAGGAGGCAAAGGAACATGAAAGAAAGAGAGAGGGAGAAATGTAACTGTAGACAATATATCCGAAACACGTGGAGAACCAGAACAGAACGAGTAAATCAGGGCTGCAGAGCAAACAGGGAACAGCTGCTCTACACCAGACACTCACACCAGGGCTAAATGCTAAAATCCTTGTAATCAAAGCAGATTGATTCATTTGGGGCTCTTGTTTAAGGAGGATGGAGGAACCTTCGTCTGCTTTTCAGCTCACCACTTGCTTGTGCCCACCGGTGATTTACAGCCACAGCGTGCCTCAGCCTGGCTGCATGCTGCAGCATGACCCTGGTGGTATTCCATACCCCTACGATACTGTAAGAACTCACCCTACCGCAGCATTTGGTAGGGGCTTCCCTCAGGCATGGTTTGGGGAACAGCAATATTTAGGTTAAAAAAAAGAGAAAAAGTAATGTGTCTAAGAGGGCAATTTGTCCTCAGCATCCCCTTCACCTCATGAAGGGTTACCAGCTGGGTTAGGATGTTGTTCTCTTCGGTGTCTCTCAAGTGCTTTCTGCTCCCTTTCCTTCCCAGGGCAGCTGCATTACCTGCCCTAGCAGATGCCCTGCAGAGAAGAGAGGCTCAGTGATGCTCTCCAAAGCCCTTTGTAGCCCAAGCCTACCGTAACCACGCAATCATCTGCTGCTGCTTCTGGCAAGGTCTGAGTGCTGTAATTAGCAAAGGAGTGACAAGCAGACAGCGAGATTGCAGGCAATCTATTGTTACTGGCTGGCAATCAGTCCCTGAGAGCCAGCTGCCCACTGTAGGAGCAGGGGCTGCAGCAGGAGTCCCCATCCTGTGGTACCACAAGTGATGGCACCTTGGCTCATTCACAAGCCCACACTTGACTCTGGCTACATTCATTAGAGGCAAAACAACGCCTGGACAAACAGTCCCTGACTTCTGTCCCCTGTGCCACCCCAGTGTGACATTATTGCATTGATTTCCGTGCTATTTCTGTCAAGAAACGGCACAAACCCTTTTATAACAAGCTCTGTGGAGTGGGGTTGTTCCTGGAAGGGCCATTCCTCTGCCTTCGCTCTGCACAGCGCAGCTAATGAAGACATGTGCTGTGTGGGCTGGGGACAAGGTGTGCCATTAGCAGAGGGAACCTTGCCCGGAAAGCCTTAGGAGGCTCATTTTCCAGTTTGTCTTGGCAAGCCAATTAGCTCTGTTTCACCTCAGCTCCATGCAGCCACGGCAAAGGGGCAGCAAGGGGAGAGTCCAGATTGTTTTGTTCAAAGGCATTCAGTATCTACCTTTGCCTTCGGACAGCGCGTAAAGAGAAGGACAGTTCCCAAAGCCAAACGGCTGCTTGAAGATGATGTCTGTGGCATTTAATGGGGCCAGCTGGCAATCCATTTAAATTAGCAGAGAAAATGACCCATGCCGTTGTGCTGCCAAAAGGAACTAAAGTGTGACAGCAAAACTGCATTCAATTAATCTTCCTTCTGCTAAAGGGCACCTTACAGGAGATGAGGGCTGGATGGGACTCTATGAGGTCAATTGATCTCTTCCCATGTCCCGCTTCGCTTGTGACAGATGTGGGTCTACCTGCTGTTGGGGTCTTCCAGTGACAGCGAACAGATCCTGCCGTGTCACCTCTTCAGCATTTTGACCTTACCAGAGGGAAAACATCTCCTAATTCCACTCACATCTTCCCTGCTGTTATTTAAGTCTGCCTTAGTCTAAACTGCAGCCCTCTCACATTTACTGCCCTGCTGAACCTCTTCATTGCTCGCTGTCTCCTGGTCCTCTGGGCTCTCTCCAAGTTGTCCATGTGAAGTACAGTTTCCAAAGCTGGCCATGAGCCTCAACGCATCTTTATGTGTGCTAATAAAGGTGAGGGGACCAGTTAACATCCCGCAGGCTCTGCTCCTCCCTGCCTCGTGGTGTTTGCTCCCTCCACAGCAATTCACTCTCGTGCAGCTTGTGAAAACTGAAATACAAGTTGCTCCCTAATGGGTACTTATGCACTTGATTATAAACCTTCCTTAGTGTCCTGAGCTTGTCTCGACTGAATAGCGTTCATTTGTCGGTCCATTTCTTTGATTTGCTTGAATCCATACACTGCCCTCACACATCCATACATAGCCTTGTAGCTGACTGGTAAGCCCCTTCAGTCCATCACTGAGCCATGAATGGGAACACCGAGCAGAGCTGGATGCAGGAGGGACCTTTCAACACACATTTCCATGTATCATTCCCAGTCAGGAGAACACATTTAGAGCACAGTTCTCAAGTGCGTTTTCACCCAGGCCACCTCTCCCTGTGTGAGAACATGTCAGTGCCTCAAAGTTGGGAAGGATGGATGGCCACCAGCACCCAGAATGAATCCCTCTGCCACAGAAGAGGATCAAGAGAGTCTGACAGCTTGTTCTGGACAAACACGAGCTTACTTAGTTTCTTTTGATCTTCTTGAAGCATGCAATCACTTGATGGACGCAGTTTGATTATTGCTTATAGGAACTGAAGTATACCAGATTGGCATATAATTCTGCTTGTTTTCTTCTTATTAAACACAGCATTATATTATCCCCAGATCTCTCCCTTGGAGTAAGCTCTCCCTTTAATAGCTGAGAATTAGCACTAGAAGATGAAAGACATCATCAAGCCTCCCTAACTCCCCCCCAACTCTCTACCAGCTAACAGGCAGGCAGGTTCTGATCCATGGACTTGGGGATCCATCCTGATTCACCCCCTCAGTGAAAGCTGGAACAGGCCCCCGAGCTCCAGCTGCTTTCCACTCTTCTCCTCACTAATAGCCTCCATCAGCTTAACCAATCACCCCCTGTGCCCTCCTCTAGCCCATCAAAATCGTATGGTACCCTCTCAAGGATGCCTGGAATTGGCCATCTCAAGGTGAGGAAGACCAGAGGTGGGCAGGCATTTCATATTGAACTATTTCCCACCTGCACGCAGACTCAAGTTGCAATTGAATTGCAAAAACGGGTGCAATTTCCATCTAGCCCATCAAGTAGTTTGCACACAAACAGAACCCAACCAAAGCAAACTGTTTCCTGGCAGTGTTTTTAAATGGAACGTCTTATTTGTTGCATTTGAGAGTTATTACCGTTTTGGGGGCTTTTACCACGAACACAAAACATGAAAACCCAACCCATGTGGGGTCTGACAGGGTCGTTTGATCCAGCTGGGAGAAATCGATCACTTCTGTTCTTTGATTGAAAAATGAGGTTTTTCCTTTTATTCTCCACCAACCACAAGCTGCTTTCTTTAGCCATTATTTTCTCTGCATGGTAAGTAAACTTAAAAACCAGCTATTTAATGAGACAGCAAGGAACAGCCGAGGGCTGCAACTTGTCAGATTATGTATAGCTGGTTAACATAAGACATGTTGACTCCTCTTAACCTTCTCGACTGCCACCAGAGGGGATGGGATGAAGTACTGTTGTGGTAGCGGGAGAGGGACTCTTCATCAGAGACTGTGGTGATAAGACAAGGGGTAATGGGTTTAAGTTTAAATAGGGGAAGGTCAAGTTAGATATAAGAAGTTCTTTACTGTGGAGCACTGGAATGGGTTGCCCAAGGAAGCTGTGAATGCTCCATCCCTGGCAGTGTTCAAGCCCAGGTTTGATGGGGCTTGGAACAACCTGGTCTAGGGTGAGGTGTCCCCGCCCAAGGCAGGGGTTTGGAACTGGATGATCTTAAGGTCCTTTCCAACCCTAACTATTCTATGATTCTATGGTTAGGGACCTCCTGCCTAACCACCCCCATCACGTGCTGTTCACCCACCCTCTGCCTCCCAGACTGGTGGGGTCCAGCAAGGTGCGGGGCACAGCTTTGGGGCAATACTTCCAAGATGCATGGTTTTCCCCAGAAACCAAACTGGGAAACCTACAGTAAGACCCTCCTGACTTCCAGCCACTCTACCTGGAGGACACACATGAACAGGACCATGGAGGAAATCAAGTCATGGTTTTAGCTATAGCCCCTTATCCAGACAGATGCTTTCCTGCCTCTCCCCACAACTGCACACCTGGGTCCTGCCAAACAGCAAACTGCACACGGAGGCTATCCAGCAGAGGAACAGCAGGAGAGCATATGATTATGAACATGCAATTATGGGGGTACACACAGATCGGGCAGGTTCTTAAAAGACACACCACAGATGTACACTGATTGACAATCTACCCTCGGAAACAGCTTGGGCTACCCCTGCTCTGTGGGTACACCTGAGAGGAGACTTGGCAGGTGGTTTGCAGGGAAAAACAAAGGGCAGTGGTGCCTTTGAGCTGAGGAAAGCCTTTTGCCTCGCTTATGTTCAGGTCTTAAGCATCCATTGCTTGCTCCTCATGGGGATTGCCCTTAACTCAGCCTGTAAATTGAAGCTGGCTCAGCAATTAGGGGGTTGGTGAGTGGGTTTTTCCATTTCATGATGACAAAGTGGAGCCCCTTCCAACCAAAAAGCAAAAGCTGTTTGGTAAAATGTCCTCTGGGAGAAGTGTTTCCTTTTGGGAACTGCCTGCCCTGCCAGCCTGAAGGATGTCAGGCTTGTTTGGTTTGGGGCAATGCCCACCAGCCTCTGGCAGCCTTTGGAAAGGGACTGGGGTGCAGTCATACCCTGAGTTGTGGGCTGCTTCTGGCTTTGGAGGTGAGGCTGTCACCTTGATCCTCTGTGATACAATATAGGTATGATACAACTTTTACACCCATAGAAGTCTTTAGCAGACAAAGCTACAGATCCTGTATTCTAGATTGGTAATGTATACTAACTGGGTGACCTAAATTCTGTATGCTTATAAAAGGATTCCTCTTTTCTTCCCCTAAATTGATGTTTTGGATGCTCCTTAAGGAGTGTAGGGGAAACCCTTCTGGAAGTAGCTGAACACTCCTCCTCAGCCTAAGATCTTGGTGTCAAACATCAAGAAAAGCCTCTGGGTCAGTGTATTCTGGGGAGGATCCAGGAGAGCCCCCAGGGCTTTTCTGGGTACAGATGGCCCTGTGTGCTCCCTGAGAGCCGGACCAGCCCAAGGGAAGGTCTCACTGACCAGACTGATGCAGTTGGAGTCAGCAGGGAGAAAGGGCTTTCTCGTTCAAACACAGACACAGAAGTGAGCAGGGCAGGACAGCAGCAGTCACAGTGCTGGGGGGGCCTCATCCCTTCCTGCACTTTCCATGTCATAAAGGGGAAAGGAAGATCTAACCCATGAGGCTCTTCCAGATGTGTCACAGGGCTCAGCCCCAATCACCTCCCAGCCTGCTGTGTTTCTGGTGGGCTTGCAGAGCCCATCCTGTGGCTCTTCGTTCCTACAGCCCGATGGCTTGCAGAGGCATTAGCAACCCCAGTGTGGACAGAAGTACTTACTTGCGAGGATGACCATGTCCATCCCCCAAAATATACTCATAATCCAGCCAACCATCACGATCGCTGTCAGGATCTGAATCAGAGCAGCAGCAATGTTCAGCCAGAACACACAACACATGTGCCTGTCGGGGAGGTCAGTCCGGGCTCCGCACAGCACGGTGAAAGCGGAGACAAACGTTCCTAGGGAGAGAGCAGCAACAAAACACCCAGTGAAAGCCATGGCTTCGTGCCAGATTCCTTCCCTTAGACATCACTTATCCTTCCCTTAGACATCACTTATTCCTTCCCTTAGACATCACTTATCCTTCCCTTAGACATCACTTATTCCTTCCCTTAGACATCACTTAGACTTACAGCATCCCGCTCCTTGTGCTCCCACTGCAGTGCTGGGAACACAGGAGGACAGAGGCACAGCCACATCTCACTTGAACACACTACTTTCTCCCATTGAATTACACTGATACGAACCAGGACAGAAAATAAGCTCTTTGGGTTTTGGCTCCTTGCTCCCCACCCAACAGTACCCACTGATGCACTGTAGGCAGGTTGCAAGGGACTGATGTGTTTGTGGAAATACCAGTCTGCCTTTTTCTTTGTCTGGTGGGTCTCTCCTGGGGAGAATATTTACTGCACAGAAGCTCTACAATGAAAAACTGCACCAGAGTTAAGGGCAGGACTGGCCCTAGAAACCTGTGCAGGTCTGTCAGTCTGTTCCTGTTCACAGGTACTGCTCTGGAAGGAGCACACAAAGCAGAAGGGATGCTAATGTGGCACCGCATCTTTGCACAACGCCTTCCCCAGTCACAAATTACCTGAGAGCGTGTTTAAACAAAGCAGGAGTAGCTAAACCAAGGCTGGAGCCATAAAGCCAGGCGGTTTGGTGTTGCAGCCTGTGGCTCTGCTTGAAACCAACATACAATCACCCTTCGGGCTTCCTATGGCAATTCGGATGAAAGGATCTTGTTGATGCACGGAAGTTAAAGTAGGGGAGGAAACCGCACCACAGCATCCTTTGCAAAGGTTCTTCCTAAATGTACCAAATACACTGATCATCTATTTGCAGGTGATGTCCTGAGCCCGTGGCAAGCCGAAACCTGCAGCTTGGGGAAGCTTTGTCTGTCCCACAACCAACCTTCAGAAACACACAGGCGAAGAGCAGAAGAAACTGTTGCTGACCCCTACAGTGTGAGAGCTGCTGGCCAGGAGGTTGGGTCACAATGCGTGTATGCATTTCAACACTTCTTAACAGTATGACCTGTCTTTGGGGGTTTTATACAAATACAGCATGGCTAAGGCAGGTACAAAGGTGCAATGTGGATCGTACTGGATAACCTGGTTCTGTGAGATGCGTTCTTTAACGAATGTCTTGAATTAGAAATCCTGCAGTGTAATGTCCAATGGTTTCTATAAGCATTACCCCTTTTCCTGTCACAAGATGAAAGCCTGCAAACACCCTGTAAGGTGTGACTGTATGTGATCTTCAGTCCCCCCAAGTGCCTTGTCAAACTAGGAGGAAGGAGGGAGTCCCTTGGTTTAACTGAAGATGGGGAGGCAACACTCGGTTTAAACCTTTCTAGAAGCCCTCACCAGACAGAGAGAGCAGAAGGACCTGGTTAGGAGCAAAATACCACTTCATCCTGCACTGCCAGGGTGGTGGAGGAGGTAATCTCTTCCATTGCTTTATCGCCCTCAATAGGTCACAAGGATACCAGGCAATTAAGATGCTGGAATGCTGGTGAAGGCTGGCTACAGCCTGGTTTTAATCTCGCCATCCTCTGCAGGCTTCAACTCCAGCATCTTCCCAACGCTCCACCAGCTCCTGAAACCCCATTCACCTTCCTGCCGCTGGCTCCATCTGCTCCCTCCTGCTCTCTTTGCTACCTGGAGCAGCACCAGGGCAGAGGGGAATGGGGGAGCGCTGCTGGGGTGCTGGGAGACAGCTGTATGGCAAGGAGAGGGGCAGCCTCCTCTCCCGTGGATTTCCATGTGTTTTGTGTCCTCCATTTGGCTTTATGTGAGATCTCTGCCCCGCTTCACATATTTTTCCCTTACAGCTTCTCCAAAGCAGAAGGAAGCCTGGAACATTCCCCCATGCTTGTGATGCTGTTGTCTGCAAAGTTACACCACAGCACTCTCTGAGATTAAATATGGATTGAGGCAAGATCAGAGACTGCGTGTTTACATTTTCCCATCAGGATACAGCATCTTGCCAAATGGAAATGCATGTCTTTCTGGAATGAGAACGGAAACCTTTCCCTCTCGCCTTACTTTTAACTCTTCCAAGATGTTATGACCCAAAAAAAGGCCACAAATGAGCAATAATTCTTAAGCTACAGCTTCAAATCCTTCCAGTGAAGCTTTTAAGACTTTTACATCATTAGTGAGCTGCTGAATTATCTGATTAATCCCCTAAACACCACCGTGACTAAGGTAATGGCCAGTCCCATTCAGAAAGGAATAAAGCAAACAAAGCAGTTGACTGTCCTTCCTTGGACAGGGAACTGATACAGAAATTAGGATTAAAATCTCATGGACCTTGGTTTATGATTCCCCCTTCAGGCCATTTTCCTACTCATGGGAGCCAATTCATTTCCCAATGCCAGTGCATTTTCTGTATTAACTATGATTAACTTTGGGAGGCTGCTGGCATTTTTAAATACAAGACTTGAGACATGCCAGCAGGCATAAAACAGGAGGGGTTTTTGCTCTAGTTCACATATGCTTTAAAATGTGAAGCAGAAGAAAGACTCTGAAATGCATTTGCCAAGGTAGATGTTTTCCCCTTAAGAAGCCATCGTAGTCACACATTGCCGAATATGGAAGCATTTGCATCTGGAAGCAGAGAGGTGGAGAGGAGGAGGAGGAAGGCAAGCAAGCTGGATCTGCTGATAGCTCCTGGCTGCGTCAGAGCTGGGGCACCAAACCATTTCCCCTCCTGTCCAAGCATTCAGACACTTGAATAGCTATGGCCTGGAAATCATAAACTTGGTACACAAACTGCAGCTGGGATGATGCTGGCCAAATAAATCAGCTGCCCCAAAAGGTCTCAGGCTGCCAGTGTAACCAGCAAACACACAAACTGCTGACATCGAAAGCAGATCTAAACTGAAAGCCCCCATATGCCAGCATAAGTAATTTATAGCAAGCATTTCTTATATCTTCCCAATGAAAATTAACCAAACCACAGTAAAATCTGAGATTATTCTGTATCACAGTAATTAGTACAGGGGGGGTGGGAGCTGAGGTTTATGCTTCGGGAGCAGCTTCAGGGCCAGGCTGGGAGGCAATGGGAATCTGAGTTTACTCTTTTGACTCATCTCATCTCACATGGGGCAGTGTCAGCCAGCTGAGGCATCCACACAGGGCTGGGCAAGGAAAGAGAGCCCCTGGGAGCCTGTGTTTGCTTTTGCTGTCAGCAGAATTAGGGTATTTTTAGATTGCACCAGTAAATATGGAAGGCTTTTTGTCTCCAACAGTTTAACCCATTGAACATGCAGGGGATGTGTTATCTGCAGGATAACACTATGAAGTGAGACACAGTGGAGGGGTTTTGCCCTTTCTCTCCTCTCCAGTCTGTTATCATGCAGGATCAAGTCTCCTCTCTGGTGTTATGCTGCAATGTGTGCGTGTGTATGGATATATGCATGGCCTTCCCAAGAGCATCACCCACTCCTGGCCCTACAGAGTACATCAAAATAGCACAAGAGGAATAATTTGGGGTTCCTCTTGGAGGAAAAGTTCACACCCTGGAGAGAGCCCTCCTGGGTCACACTGTTTGGGTTGCTTATCCTGGGTGGAAGAAGACATGAGGTCAAGCCCTGAGCAGTCTCCTCCATGCTGAGTGCAGCAGTGACTGTGTTACAGAATATCTTAAGCTGCATGAGAAGTTTCCCTCTCCTTTTAGTTGTCTGCCAGAAGGCCCATCCTGGGCACTCCTGCAAAAGCTTCAGTCAGACATGGGGCTTGGCACAGTTCACGTGCAGGACCCAGCTCTGAGCACGCTTCTGATGGCACCACCCCAGAGACATCAGAGGTGGTTGGAACCCAGGTGCAAACCAGAGGGAGACAAGACACCGATGGCCACAGGGTAAGTGTGATTTAGGCACACAGACAACTGGTTAGTGGGCTTCCCACTGACTACCAGGTACCTGAAACTTCACAACAGCAAGCATCTGTGCTGCAAGGAAACCACGTCTGATGAGCGGTCCTGCTACAGGTGCAAGAACAGCAGAAACCCAAATCACTGCAATCAGGGCAGCAGCATGTGAAGATGATGACAATGATGATGATGATCCCTAGCCTACAAAAACCTGGAGATAGGTTGGACCTGAGAAATATCCCTTCCTCTTCCCACAAGCTTGGGGATATTTAGGACATTATATAGTGCTGAGAATAAGGCAGAGGTGTGGCGCTTCCTTTCCTGCTCCCAGAGGGAAAACTAGGGCCATGTTATAACTCAGGAATTGGAGCAAAGCTACAGGTAAGCATACAGGAATGAGATCTGAGGTGTCTGTGGGAGTAAGTCTGTTGGATCGACAGTGGGGGATGTAATTAATGTGTGTGTTTTGTGGGGAGCAGATCCACCTGTGTAGCTGTATTGTGTCAGGTGGGTGCTCTGTGTGGGGACACGTCTGACGTGCCTTTGAGTTCTTTTAAGTGCAATGATTATTAGCTGTCACCAGTGTTGGCAGGCACGTGAGGCAGATGGGGATGTGCTGAAAATTCCTGAGATGTGCTACTTCTTGCTTGCGTTGAGTCAGAAAAACTGTGTGAGAAAGGGTTGTAGTTATTTCCTCAGTTCATATATGGCATCTATTGGTCAAGACGTTGTTGGTTCCTAAGTGCTGTGAACAATTTCATACCCTAATTTGAGCTGTAGGGCATTGTTTCAGTGGTGGAAGCCTCCCATCTTTGGCATTAATCCATACGCTAAACTCTAGTCCTTTCAGTTATGATGAGGGAAAGAGAACTACTAAAACTTGCCCAAGAAAGGGCTATAGCAGCATTTGCTGGTGCACAAAAGGCTTCCCCTCTGCTTAGGCAGGTAGGGCTGGGCTGTGGAAAGGGCACTGATAACAACACAATGAAGTAAAGCTGCAAAGCATTAACACTGACTGTCTGCTGAAGTCTCCTAAAGCAATTGCTTGTGTCTTTGCTTGAGAGAACAGCAGCAAAAAACA